GGGGCAAGCGGCGCCCCCCCCGCCGCATTCCTGGCCCTGCCCGCGGAGCGCCCAGCCTGTCCCGGCAGCTTTCCCGAGGCGGCCGCGCGGGCATCGTTCAGCTTCAGAGTGAACGCCCCGTGGCAAGTAGCGAGAGGGGCCGGCCTCTCTCAGCTGCTGCCTGCAGGCTTAGGCGGGGGGCACCGCTCGGCACCCCAAAACCTGGCGTCCTGGCTGCTGGGAAGCAGAACACCCCCTCTCCCTGTCTGCTTGCTCTCAATTGGACCTGGGCCACAATGTGACGCTTCCTTTGCCCCCCCACAGTATCTCGGGTGCTTTTCTGAGGCGAGGGCATTCGTGGCCACCAAAACTGCCAGCAGGCACTTCCTCCCCCCACCCTTCCCACCTCCCAGCTGATTTGTTTGGCCATAAAAAAAGCAATAACATCCATGTCGAAAAAAAAAAAGGATGCTCAAAACGGCGAGCAGCAAAGAGCCGTGCTTTTAGGCAATCAATTAAAAGGCTGAGCGAGGCGATTAGCTCACCAAAATATTATTTTTTAATAAGGTTGCGTCTGAGTTGCTCCCAAACCTGCTCGCTGGGCTGCCCGTCCCCCCCAGGGGGAGCGCCGGGCACCTGCGGGCACCTCTACGCCCGGGGGCTCTCGGGGCAGCTCAAGTGAAGAGCAGTGGGGACAGCCCACACCAGCACTCGGACCCCTCTTGCCTCTGTATTTATAATAAAAAAAAATATACAAATACATACATATATATATAATATATCTATATATAAAGTAGGCGGGATGAGTCTAGCCGGCTCCAGGGCTCAGGTTAGCTCTCCGACCCGGATTTCGTCCTCTTGGCCTGCTTGGATGCTGCTGCTTTTGGTGTCCAGGAAAGGTTTGGGGGCTGAGGTGGGCTGGCCAAGAGGCAGAGGTGACGGGCTGGGGGCTCTCAGGCCAGCCGAGTCCCTCGTGCCGCTCCAAGCCTCAGTTTCCCCGGCCGTGAGACAGGCGCCACATGGCCCCCCGCTCGCGGCGGAGGGCCGCCGAGGCCGGATGGCCCTGGCTCGGGATGGGCCCCACAGCAGCGGGTACGTCGGGAGAGCCACCACAGGCACCGCTTGGGCGCCCTCCTTCCAGCCAGCCCCGAGGGCCTAGGGAACCTGGATCTGCAGGTCCTCGTCCTCGTCCGGGTCGCTGGTGCCGTCTCCCGGGTCGTCGGGGCCGAAGCGGGCGCTGAGCATCTTGCCAAAGAGCGGCGGGTTCTGCTGCCGCCGCAGCCTGCCGGGGGAGAGAGCGTCTCGCATCGCCCAGCCTGTCCCCCTGTCTTGGGGCACAGGAGGAAGGCCAGAGCTCCGCACTCTCCTCTGAGTTCACAGCCCCACGTGGCTGCTACCTGCTGATAAAGCCCCAGCCACTGGGCCCTCCCCTCGCCTGGCTCCGAGCGGAGCTCAGCAGGCTCTTGCCGGGAGCCAGGAGCCCCCCCGGGGTGCCGCTTATCAGCAGAGAGGTGCCTCAGTTTCCCCCATCGCCACCTGACCCTACCAGTGACTTCTCCGGCAGAGCATCCCGGCCTGGAGGAGGCTCTGCTGCGGGAAGGTGCCTGTACGTGGTCCCAGTGCCAGTGCCAGGGCCAGCCTCGGTGCTTCGGGGCCAGCAGCTGCAGCCCATGGGCTGGTAGCCCTGGCAGAGCCCATAGGAGGCTTCCCAGTGCCAGGAGGGCTGCATCGGGGACACCGGTGGCTTCGGGCTCCGGCGCCAGCTCGCAGCCTCCCCGCCAAGGGGAAGCACTGGGTGTTTCTCTGTCCTCACTTTTACCCTCGTGCACAAATTCATCAGATGAATTTATGATGCAAATCTGAAATTTGAAATCGGAGGCCCCAAAATGGTGAAGAAAACGGTTCTGCCATCAGCCTGCGGTCATGACAGCCACGTTTGCTGCATTTTACCGGAAAGCATGAATTATTTAGAGCAAGTGCGCAGGGAAGCTAGAGTGGGGCAGGGAGGGGAGAGGATGAAGCCTCCATTACTCCTCTCTGATTTAATGGAGATGTCCCAATAAAATAAAGGACGATTTAAAAAGAAATAAATAAATAAAAATAAAAAGTGCCTCCCAGAGACACTCTGGTGGAGAATCGATTCCTCTCGCAGCCATTTCAGCTCTGTATTGCTGGCGAAGCAAAGGGAGGGCGCAGGAAGTTTTGAGGAGCTATGAAACCACCGGGCCTTCAGGGAAGGCTCCCTGGTTCAGCTCGGGGAGGTTCCTGCTGCCCCGGGGACGGGGATGGAGAAGCACGAACGGCTCCTCGAGGTCGCTGGAGGGCAGAGCCGGGCCCGTGCCTGGAGCGAGCGGGCCCCCGGCGAGCCCTGTGATCCATCACGGCCCCCGGCGAGCCCTGCGATCCATCACGGTGCAGTGATAAAGCGCTCGCCTGACACCCGTGCCCGTAAAGCCTCCCTCCCTCTGTGGCTGGCCTCCCCCGAGGGCTGGGAGCACTTAGGTGAATTAGCCCCCTCCGGAAGGAGCGCTTTGCTGCCGAGCGGCTCTTTATCATCCGCACGACACCTCTCCCCGGCTCCATGGGATAAATCACTCCCAATGCAGCGCCGGGCCGTGGTGCAACCCTTCGCCTCCCCTCGCCCCTATCCGAGGGGCTCCGAGTGCACGGGTGCTGTGGATGCTCGCGCAGCGCTCGCCCACCAAAACCTTTCGGGATGCTCCTGCATCCAGCACTGAGTGTGGACATGGGCAGGTGGAGTCCAGGCCCAGCAGCTAAGAAAAGCAATCTGAGAGCCCAGCTGTACGGGCTTCAACCGGGCTCAAGGCTGCCCTGAGGAGACGGGGACTCCAGAGGTCCCCGGTCCCCTGCAAACACTGCGTTTCTGCTGGGGGGATGCTGGTAGCAAAGAGAGCCTGATCCCATCCTTTGGTTTCCCTGCTCACCGGGACTGCAGGTGCTCCAGCTGAACCTGGAAGTTCTCGCTCTGCTCCGTCTGCTCGTCCAGTGACCGCTGCAGCTTCCGCGTCTGGTTGTGGGCCTCGTCCAGCTGTGGGATGGAGGACAACGGAGTCGGCGTTGGCCACGAGGAGAGGACAGAGCTCCCCAGTGGCTGCAGTTCTCTCCGTCTCTTCCCCCAGAGCAACCTGCCTCCGGGACAGGACAAGCTGAGCCCGACTTCCAGCTACTCCTCTGAGCTGGTTGAGATTGGAGCCTATGACCTGAGTGAGACAAGCTCTTGGCTCATCTCTCAGGCTGCATTTTTAATGCTCTTCTCCTGGTAGAACTTGGCACTTCCTTCACCAGGGCAGTCACGAGCTCAATTCCAGCTCCAGGCTGAGATGGCACTTTGGAGAGTGCTGCGGTGACAGCTCTAAGGTAAGGTATTTTTTCTGTTGCTAATGCAAAGGGCGAGGGAGCCTCACCTCATCCTCGGCCTGGGCCAGCTCCTTCTTCAGCTCCTCCACCCTCAAGCGCAGCTTCTTCACCTCGCCCTCGTGCTGCTCCACGCGGCGGTTGGCGTGGGCCAGCTCGGCCATCTTCTCCTGGTACTGCTTCTTCAGCTTCGTGTGCACGTGCTTCAGGTCAGCCAGCTCCTGTGGTGGGCACAGCAGGGTGCTCGAGTGGGGCAGAGCACCCCCCGGCCTGTGCACCCTCTGCAGCACCAGCCCCTTCCCCCCTCCCAAAAGCTCCCCCTCTGCCATGGAGGAGCTGTGATGGAGGCTCCAAGTGGGCTCCAAGACAAGGTAAGGTCACTGTCACCCTCCACATGAAGAGAGTAAGGGGAGCCTGTGGCCAAGGGTGTCCTGGGGTACCAGCCCCACCGTTACGAGTGGCATTACCAGGGCTCCTCAGGCAGGGGGGCATGAGGCTGGGGCTGTGCCCCATCCCACCTTGTTCTTCTCGAAGAGCTCAGCCTGGATGGTTTTGAGGTCGGTGTCCAGGGCACTGGCCGTCTGGCGCCGCTTCCGGGCCAGCACCTCCTCCAGGTCCTCGATCTGTGCCCGCAGCTTCTTGTTCTCCCGCTCCAGGTTGAGCTTCTCCGTCTCCAGGCGCTCCCGCTTGCCCCACTCGGCTGCATTCTCCGCCTGCAGCCGCTCCATCTGGGCAGGGGGATGTCTCTGACGCTCAGATCCCCAGCCCTGGCTGGCTGGGGGGTCCCTGGTGTACCGGCAGGGACTCCCCTTCACTGCTAAACTCTCTCTTTGCTCTCTGCCCAACACCTCCCTTCCCGCTGTGGTCGTGGCCATCCCAACCAATCCCTCGAAACGGCTCCTCGCAGCCCTCGTTCCAGCTCAGCCGGCCGCTGCCATCCCTCTCGGCGAGGGCTCCGTCCTGCTCTCCGCGCCGCCAGGTCCCGCAGCCCACCCTCACCTCTGTGCGCAGCTCCGCCAGCTTCTTGTCCATGCTGGAGCGAGCGCCCAGCTCGTCCTCGAGGTCCTCTGAGATGCGTCCCAGCTCGTCCTGGTGGATCTCCTTCAGGATGTTCAGCTGTGGAAGTGGGACAGTGCCAGCGGGAAGCAGCCAGCACTCTCTGCCAGGGAGGCTCAAACACAGGTCCCGCTTTGCCAGCTGCACCCAACCTGGTTTGGGGAGGCTTCAGGTTTTGGACATGGCCCCTCTCAGCCACTCCACAACTGCCACCTGTAGCGGGGCCAGACATCTCCAAGCCTCTGGGGAGGATGGACTGACTAATTATAGCTGGATCAATGGGGCTATTTAAGCCAGTTAATTAATGAGTGTCTAAGGCAAGAGCAGTTTGCCTGGAGCAGGAGTGCCCCCTCGTGGAGTTGAAGCCAAGGGTCTCCATGTCCCTGGGGACAAGGCCACCTCGTCACAGCCTGCAGCTGTGCCAGACCCCTCTGCTCACCTGCTTCATCACCTCCTGCTTGTTCTTGTTCAGCTCCTCATACTTGATTTTCCATTGGCTGAGCTCACCCTCCAGCTTCTCAATGCTCTTGCTGAGCGCCAGCTTGTCCCTGCAGAGACACGGCCCCATGTGACAGCCCATGGGACCCCCCCGTGCCAGGGTACCCAGGTGAGGAGGGCTCGTCCCATAGGAGGCTAAATCCCCATGCCCCAGGACACTCACTCCCGCTCCTTGAGCAGCACTTTCTGGGACTCGTCCAGCCTCAGCTTCAGGGCGGTCACTTTGGTGGCGTCCTCCTCAACGGTGCTCACGTCCTCCCAGAGCAGGCGGCTCCTCTCCGGCCGGGTGAAGGAGGTCCGCACGCTCACGGCGCTCCGCTGCTCCCAGCACTCCGACCCGTCCTGTTTGCTCTTCAGGATGTTTTCCATCAGCTCAAACTCCTGCAGTGTCACAGGGTGGCCAAGCAGGAGGAAGGTCACAGAGAAAGAGATGGGCACCCTCTGACCCCTTCCTGGGGGTCCTTTGGCCTCATTTCCCAGCACCCACCACCACCAGTGGACACGAGGGAACGTTACTGGGCCAGGCCACCCCATGGCCAAGTCTAGGGGCCCCTCTGCCCCACCTGAGGCCCCCTTTCCTCTTGGCTGTCTCCCCATATAGACAACCCCATCTTCTGCTGTCAGCCTCAGTGTCCTGCTTGGACTATATGCTGCGTTCAATCTGTGAGGAGATATTATCGATTTATTAACCCCATCCCAGCGTGACCCCTGCATCTTTAATTATTAGCCTCCAGGAGCGTGGGGAAAATTACCTCACTGTATAAAGCACGCTCACTATTTGCCTGCTTGTGCTTCTTTACTTAAAATCCGCTAAAAAAAAAAACATGCCAGCTCCACGGGAGGGGGGTGTTGTGCATGCAATTCCGCCTCCAGATCGCTGTGTGAGTGCTGCTCGTTCCCGGGGCCAAGTTAGGGAAAAACTGGCCTCTCGGCTAACTGCATCCGCAGACGACGCGGCTGATGATGTCCCCTTGGCGGGCCCTGCCTCAGGAGCGGGGAAGCGCCGTGCGGCAAAGCCTTTCTTCCCCAGCCAGTTCCTGCCGTAACCGAGAAGACGCAGACAGCCATCATTTGCTTTAAGATCAAAGCTCCCCCGGAGCAGCCAAGAGTAATTTCTTTGGTTGAACCGGCTGAAAACTAGCTGGGCTTGAAAATGGGAGGTTCTCGGGCTGCAAAGCCTTGCCGGGCTGCAACGCTCGTCTGCTGCCGCAGCCCAGCGTCGGGAGGAGCCGCGGGCCCACGGAGGAGGTATTTATCCCCTCTCCTTAGAAGAAAACCTCAGACAAAAGCACAGCAGGAGGCAGCAGGGCCTGCACTTGGGTTGATGATACTACAGGACCACAGAGCTCCTGGCTGTATTTACTCCCAGCGTTCAAATCTGACGTCACCACAAAGACTTTCCAGTGAGGGATGGGCCTCCCTGGCTGTGTCCCTCACGGACACGGGGCCTCCCACGTTGCGTTGGGCAAATGGCACAAGGAAGAGCCAGCCTGCACCTTCATAAGGGAGAATTTAGGTCTGTCCTTAGGGTGTTTTGTTTTGTTTTGTTTTTGTTTTTTAAATGATGAGATGACTAGTCCTCTATGATTCCTTTCACCTGCTGGGTTGTAAAGAGTTTGGGAAGTCTCAGCCTTGTGAGTCAGATGCATATGGAGACATTTCAGCCTCTTTTGGTGTGGCACTGGTGTGAGGAACAGGAGAATGCTGGTGAAGCACAAGCAGAGAAAGATGTTTTCCAGCAAAAATTGCACCCATCCCTGCAGCTGAGGAACCCGTCGGAGGCTCCTGCTATGGAGGCTGTGGGGTTGCGCAGGACAAGGGCCTGTGCTCCAGAAAAGCTGGATGGGGATTCAGTGAGTGCAACACCATGCCAGGCTGCCCAGCATTGCCCGGCCGCGTGCCACCCATCCTCGGCACTTACAGCTAAAACCCCATGTTCTGAGTAGGAACTATTGCGTTCAGCGAGGTCTGTTCACAGTCACCATTTTCACCTCCATCTGCTGTAGGAGTCAGGGCAATTCTCTGTTTTCTGCCAAGAAACGACTGCCTGCAGGAGACAGCTGACTACCCAAGGACCTGCAACTATTCTCGGGGTGACCCTGATTTCTCCTCCTTCATGAGTTACGCTCCTTCTGCACAGATATCTGTTGAAAACCCGCACCAGCTCCCCGGCGCATGTGCTGCTCCTGGGAGATGACATCTACTCCCCTACAGCCGCTGCTCCCTGTGTTCAGACACTGAATTTTGTTTAATGCTTCCAAACACGAAGCCCCACAGAATAGACCTCGCCTGGTATCCAGGTGATCTTGCTGAACGCACGTTACAGGAGTCCTGGGCTGGTTCTGCTGCTCCGAGAGGGGTTTGACCCCACCACGAGAAGGATGGATGGGCGCCCATGCCCTCTCCTGAGCTGCTGCTGAGGAGCGAGAGGTTGGTACCTCTCCTTTAACCATCCACCTGCTGCTGGTGGGAGCACCCACAGCCACCCTGTGCCTTCCCGCCGCGCACCCACCGCCTCCTCACCTTGCTTTTGGCCATCTTGTCGGAGCCCACATCGCGCACGGGCTCCTGCTCGGGGGCAGCCTCGCTCTCCTTCTCGGAGGCCACCCGGTTGTCCACCTCCTTCTCGTGGCCCTTGAGGCGCGCCACCTCCTTGCCCAGCTGCTCGTTCTCGTTGAGCACCTCCTGGCGCTCCCGCTTGAGGCCCGTCAGCTCCTTGGTGAGCGCCTCCAGCTTGTGCCGCAGCTGGCGCACCTCCTCGCGCGCCTTGTTGCG